CTCAATTGCTAGATAGAGTGAGGGATTTTTTTTTTAAAAATTTGATTTATATGCCGCCCTTCTCCAGAGACTCAGGGCGGCTTACAATGTGCTCAGCAATAGCCTTCATCCTTTTTGTATATTTATACAAAGTCAGCTTATTGCCCCCACAACTGGGTCCTCAATTTACCTACCTTAGAAAGGATGGAAGGCTGAGTCAACCTTGAGCCTTGGCGAGATTCGAACCTGCAGTAATTGCAGGCAGCTGGTCTTAATAACCAGCTTAATAACAGGGTGCCTTAGACCACTGTCCTACCAAGGCTTAAGGCAGTGACGGCTAACCTTTTTGCCATTGCGTGCCAAAAGTGGGGGGAGCGCGCATGTGCATGCCCACACCCATAATTCAATACACCCATGCATGCATGTGCAACCCCCCTGCATTCCCCTCGCTTTTGGCATGCAATGGCACGGTGGGCCTGGTAGACCCGTTTTTCGCCATCCCCAGGCTCCAGAGGCTTTCTAGGAGCATGGGGAGGGTGAAAACGGCCTTCCCCACCCCACCCGGAGGCCCTCCAGAAGCCAGAAACAGCCTGTTTCCCAACATCCGGTGGGGCTGGAAGGCCCGAAAATCAGCTGGCCGGTGTGCACATGCGCGTTGAAGCTGAGCTAGGGCAACACTTGTGTGCCCACAGATATGGCTGCCCATGCCATCTATGGAATTAAGGTATGGGCTGGGGTGAAACCTCAGATTTAGCACCCAGTTACAAATTTGTGGTGGTACTTTTCTTTAAAAAAAAAATTAATGGTGGCAATGAATGCAGATGGTCTCTGAGTGGCAAATTGTTTCCATTCCCACTCCTAAACCCCAAGCAATGCAAAAATATCCCAAATTGTTCTGAAAATCCACAGCATCATTCTTCCTAAATCAGGAAGCAGGGTGGGAATGGTATACAAATCAACAACAATCCCATATGAAAGGCTTGGAGCTGCCTCAGCTGGAGATGTGGTATTTTAAAGATCAGGAGCCTTTTAGAGTTTGACACCCCCCCCCCCCCTCATGCCTCAACAGTTCTCTATTCTACCTGATTGCAGTTTCTAAACGTTTCTAGAGTGGCTTGAATCTGGCCATGGGACTGCATGCAATTCCAGAGAAATGTTGCAGTGCTTAGGGGGACAGTGACTGTCAAGGTAAGTGTGGTTTCTCCTGAGATCTTGGTGCTCTTTTTACAAACCATCTCTAGTCGCAAAGATTTATATAAGTCGTAACAGTCTATCCTTGTTTAATCTGCATGTTCCCCTTTTGTTACAGTTTTTTTTTACTCCTGTGATTAAAAGCCGGAAGTATTATGACAGCTTTCTCCAACCTGATGCTCTCCAAATCTGCCATCTAACTAATATAATAATGGAACATATATTTTACAGAAAACTTTTCTTTCTCAAGATTTCTGTCCCTTGCTCTTTCTTGCTCACTCAGTCATCTTGCACTTCATGCAGCTTCTCCTGTGCAAACAATAGAGCCAGGAGCTTTACCTTCGTGGCATTTTGAAACGAGTCGGCTCTTTTTATTCTTGAGAAAGTTCTGGTGGTAGCTTGCTATCAGTAACAATAGGATACTCCTCTTCTTCTAACTACCTACATCTTTCTCTCTTTCCTTCAGAAGTTCCTGCTGTTTACAATGGAGCTTTTCCTAAGTATGATGTCATTGTTGCTGTCCAAATAACTTTGATGTCAAAAACCCAGACCTGGGGGATCAGCAGCAGGAGATTACAAACTCTCAAGAAACAAAGAGTCTCCTCCTGCTTCACATGCCCTTCAGAACAAAGGCTGCCAGAACAAAGCACCGCACAGAACCTTCAGTCAGAAACAGGTGGGTTTTTAAAGAGAATATGAAAAAAGGAGGCTGAAGGGGTTCATATATCTACACGTCATTAAAATAAGGAAGTCAAACAAACAAACAAAAAATCCATGGGGCTTAAATAATTGTCAAAGCTCTTGGGGGGGAGGGGAAGCTAGATGTTACAGTACCTGAGGTTCTTATTAATATTCTTAAAGAGAGACAGTGAATGAGCATCAGGTACTTACATGAATAAACAGTAAGTAAATATCAGGGGTGGGGGGGCCTTGAAAGATGAGTGGCAAACAAATTTAATAAATAAAATAAAAAGTGTTGATAGAATGAAGATTAAGGAACTTTATTCTCAAATTCTCTGCTCAAAACGCATGATTTGTAGGTTCCTGTTCAGTAAAAATTTCACGTCAGTTGCACACATCTGATGTCCTTGAGTCTAATTTAAATCACAGTGATTTAATTTCTGAAATGATTTATAAAATGCAGTAGGTTTTCATCTGTATCTTCCAAGATACCTTATAACTTATTTATTTATTTATAGCAAGTATGAGAAAACAAGTATAAGTTTAAACATATAAACATATAAGTATAAACCGGTATAAGAATAAATGCAAGAAATGAGTACGAATAAATGGGGACAGTAGGACAGGGATGGTAGGCACGCTAGTGTGCTTATGCACGCCCCCTTACAGACCTCTTAGGAATGGGGTCCACGGTAGACAGTTTAAGGTTAAAGTTTTGGGGGTTTGAGGATGTAACAACAGAGTCAGGTAGTGCACTCCAGGCGTTGACCACTCTGTTGCTGAAGTCGTATTTTCTGCAATCGAGTTTGGAGTGGTTTACTTTGAGTTTGTATCTATTGTTTGCCCATGTATTATTGTGGTTGAAGCTGAAGTAGTCATGACAGGTAGGACGTTGTAGCAGACAATTTTGTGTACTACGCTTAGGTCAGACCGAAGGCAGCATAGTTCTAGGTTGTCCAGGCCAAAAATTTCAAGCCTGGTGGCATAAGGTATTCTATTGCGAGCAGAGGAGTGGAGTACTTTTCTCATGAAATATCTTTGGACTCGCTCAATTGTATTAATGTCCGATAACCTAACGCAACTAATGTCTATTGGGGACAAATGAGTGTGTTTAGTATAGCACAATGGCTGGAGATTCTGAGAATCACTGTCCCAATCCATCTGGAGATTCCTGGGTTGAAGAAGCCTGGTTTAATACGATATTAGTAATCAGTGAAAAGATGCTTCAAAGATCTTATTTCAGTTGGGTAACCTTATTAATTTTCTGAGATTTCAGTGACATCCTGGAGCACAGCAACAAAAGGACTATTGAATAAATTTTCACTCTCACCTTCAAATAACCTGGAATTGTATTTACATCAGTTTTTAGGTTAATTCTGGTAAGCCTTGTTCTATACAAATTAATTAATTCAGTGAAGCAGTTGAGGCAAAAAAAAAAAAATAGCTGTGTTTCTTCAAACTTGATTTTTAAAAAGTTGAAAGCAAATCTTGCCAATCGATTCTGATCCCGCATTACTTGATGATATGAAAAAAAAAAAAAAAGTGGATTGGCCACAAAATGGCAGCAGCTAATATAAATTGAGCAAAACTCTTAGAAGTTTCTTTTTACCAAGCTTCTCTACTTGGATGTGGTGGCAATCAAAACACTTGCAGACATACAATGATGCATGATGATGGCTGGAAGGAGGAAGAAATACTTAAAGCCTAAAAGGGAGAGTAACATTAGAATTACAATGAGAATTAGTTGCTACGTGCACTGCTGATCTGAGATGGAAAAGGACAAGGGAGCAGAGTGAATAAAAGAGAGAAGTGGGCACTTGGCTATTGTGTCTAGAGGTATTTCCACAGGGCAGAACAATGGAAAGATGGATTACTGCCAGCCCAAAGGTTCACAGACTTCCACCACCTGCTGAAAGATACAGACGGTGTGAACAGAAAGCCAGCCCTGGGGAACAAAAGGGCACACAAGGCAATTTCAGATAAATGAGAGACAGCAAGAAGGTTTCTGATAGAGAGGAAGGTGAGGAGATTAAAAGACTGTCTGAATGTGACAAGCCTTCAGAGGAGTGGGTGGGGTGGGGAGCAGCTTTAGGGAACTTATAAAGGGGTCTGTGGTCACATTAGTTATCAGGAGCAAGAGAATAAATGAGCCAAGGGATAATATCCACGGACCCTCTAACAGTATAAGGTTTTTGTATCACCCAGACTTTCATTTGTGTAATTCATGTCCCTGTCATTTTTTCCACACGAAGTGAGAGTTCTATTAATTCTGGTAATAGCATCTTCCACCTATGGCTCTCCTGGAATTCTCCTAGAATTCCTTTTTTCCTCAAAAGGAACACACCAAAGCCGACCCCCCCTCTCTCCAATCCAGTTTAAGGAGTAAAAGACAAAAGTAACTTCCTTTGTCTGGAATTACTTTTCATCTATCTTTTTTCCTATCCCCACTTCCCCCCAAGAAAAAAGATATGCATTTGTCAATTACTGGTATATAGTTGGTTAAGAACTATTTTCCATGGACATAGAAAATAGGACCAGAAATAATGGGTTTAAGTTGCAGCTACCTAGACTTCATATACTATAAATATCAGAAAAAAACCCTAATTTGTACAATTGTGGAAGAGTCTACCTGTGGAAGTTATGGGTTCAATGGAGGGTTTGAAGGAGAGGCATGCGAACCACCTCTCATGGGTAATTTAATTAATCTTCCTATATATTGAAATGGGTTGGGCACTATAATCTTTCTGATCCCTTTCAACTAAATAATTTTACAATTCTCCTAGGTAAGATTATCTGGAAAATAGATAAGCAGTTAGTGCATTAATCATTTAATCTTTCAACATGGAATATGCCCTTCTTCCAATATAAAGCTATTTTATATCAACTGTTCCCTCCAGATGTTGTCCAGATTTATTAGGAATTCAGCTCCCATCATCAACAGCCCTTCATCAAAATAAAGAAGGATAGCTGTGACCCAAGTGAAAAGGGGCAAGTTGCCCCACTCCAATTTCTGGAAAATAGCAAGATAAGTTTTGACCATCAGAGGATATGTACCATTCCCCCACTTTATATACTACAGTAAGAGAAGGCAATTTTGCTCCTGAGCAAAACTTAATGTTTTGAAGAAGAGACAGGAGAAGGCAACCTACCTTTGTTAGCACAAGCCATCCACTGCAGGGGAGTGACATCATAGTTATGCTGCCCAACAGAAAAGGTGAATACTCGTACCTGGAAAAAAACAACCAACCAATAAGGAGTATGTCTACCAAAGGGAGTAAATGAATGTATCGTTCCCTTACTCTATCCCATACTTAAATGCCTTCACTGTAAACTCTTGTAAATGAAATCTACCAATATGCCCATTCAAATACTAGCAAAAACTCCTACAACTTGAATAGGACAATGATGTCACATCTATGTCTATGACTATTTGTCAACTTCTTTCCTAATATATATATAAAGACCTGTCATTCATCCTAAAAATGTGAAAAAGCCTTACTGTATCTTAAAGAGATACTGAAAGAAATACTGAATTTGCCAAGAGAATTCGCCATAGCCAACTCGCCATGGGGCAACTCGTTGCAGCACAATTCAATGCTGTATAAATAATTTCATTCAGTTATTTTAATTATTGGTGTTAACATTTTTGTTGAAATTATTGTAGCTCTTGTATTTCTGGATTGACTTTATTTTATTATTATTGGCCATGGTTCCATTGAAATTAATTTAATTTTTGTATTTGTTGAATTGTCCTGTGGTGCGTTGTCCCACAGTGGTTGGTTGTGGTGAGTTGGCTGCAGTGAATCGTTCCATTCCATGCTGAGAGAGCTGGTGGAGGTCAGCAAGGAATGAATCTAACCGAGCATATATTGGAATCCCCGATAAGGCCTAACTCATGGCAATAAGAATGGTAAAACATTTAGCCTTTTCCAATATCCTGACTATAACATTCATCAAAGCTCATTGTTGTGATGGTACATGAGTTCTCAGAGCCATGAAGTCAGCCTCTCTGGGTTAGATCCATGCAGGTTAGAAAGGTTTCCCAGGAAAGGATATATGGGTGGCCTCTGGTAGTGAAGAATGTATCTTTAAGGGAGGGGATGATCCTGCTAATATATAAGAAGGCAGAAGTCTGACTTTTCCTCAACCTCAATTGTCCACCTGATCCCTAATCAGGTTGTTGAGAAGATTATTGTGTTGCAGCTTCAGAAAACACTGGAGGAAATGGACCCATTTCAGTAGGCTTTCAAGACTAGACATGGACCAAAACAGCACTGATTGAGCTTGTTAGCAGTACATGTCTCTTTGCTTTTCTTGACCTTTCAGCAGCTTTCAATTTCATCATCATGATTTCCCCTTCTACCAGCTCTGGGTAGTCTAGGGAAAACCATCTTGTATTGTTATTATTAATTTATTGCTGATGTGTTATTCTCAGTCACTTTTTTTTGTTTTCTTGCATTGTTTTTCCTCTCTATTCTTATATTGATGTTTTTAATTGTATTTGCCTTCCATAGTTCTTTTTGTGAGATGGGCAAACATATAATTGAAATAAATAAAAAAAACAATCTTAGGCACAAGTGTCTCTAACCAGATATGCTGAGGAAGTCAACATAGAGCGATTGTTGAGTCTAGTGGTTAAAACACCAAGCTAGAAAGTGGGAGAGGAGACCCTGAGTCCCACCTTTGCCATGAAAACCAGCTGGGTGACTTTGAGCCAGTCACTCTCTCTCATTCCAACTCACCTCATGGGGTCATTGTGGGGAAAAGAGAAGGAGGAAGGTGTGTTGGATATGTTCATCACCTTGAGTTAATTGTAAAAATACTAACTACAAATGTATGTATGTATGTATGTATATATGTATGTATGTGTATGTGTACATACGTATGTATGTATGCAGGAAATTTTAAGGAGACTATTGTGCATTTCATATTGCTTTGCTAAACTTCTTATGAGAGAATAGTACCTGATAATGGTATGGTTTGGGGAATACTCATTGCAGTTTATAATCCTCTGTTTAGGAGCTTGTTTTTTTTTCTTCTGTTAATCTGAATATATATGACAACCTCTGGGATAGATGTAGGGAAAAAGAACCGAAAATGCAAGAGCATATTGATTTGATTCCCCTGCTCACTAATTGATTTTTTTTTGCCAGTTTTGTGGCAAAAACTAAATCATATGCATGATGGCAATTGGCCATGCATTTTCAAGCAGCTGTTACATACCCATATGGATTGATCCAATGAACCGAATATTACTTTATTGACTTTTGATAATATTTATGAAGAAAATAAATGGTTCTAGGCTGTGTTTTTTGTTTGTTTGTTTAGAAGATGTATATGGTCACCCATCTAAAACTGTGTTGCTTACAACAGCAACTGTTCTTGTTGCTGAATGGCTTCTGTAATAGCACTCTTATAGTTCAGTTTCATATCAAGGAAAGAATGAATTTGCTTGGTTGTCTTAATCAGGGATCACATGCTTCCACATTTCCTAAGAGCAAAAACCTAAGAATAATAAATTTGATATATTATGGAAGGACCCCCACTTTTTATTGAAGGGGGAAAAACCCATAAATCCCTTAATAATACACAAAGTACTCTTGAAATACTGTGCATAAAAAGGAACCTACAGGAATTAGAAGAATTACAATCAAGGAGGAGAAAAAGAAAGGAAATTCTGCTTTCCAACTTCTCTTACTTCAAGTTCATCTTCCTTTTCATAGAGAAGGGGAGACAGAGAAAGTAGTTCCACAGCTATTGGATGTGCCAGCTTCTTGCTTTGATAATATCACTCACGACTCCATCATCCTTAGATCAGACTACTCATTTCAAATAGCCAGCTCATTTTAGTGTGCCCACATCAGTGAGGTGGAAAGGGCAAACTTTGTTTCTCTCTGGTGACCTCCATCTTGTGGAACAGTTTTCCTCTGAGAGATTCAGATGGCACCTCCCCTGGCCTTGCTTCAATATTGCTTCTATAGCAATAGCAATAGCACTTAGAGTTACATACCTCTTCACAGTGCTTTACAGCCCTCTCTAAGCGGTTTACAGAGTCAGCATATTGCCCCCAACAATCTGGGTCCTCATTTTACCCACCTCGGAAGGATGGAAGGCTGAGTCAACCTTGAGCCTGGTAGGATTTGGACTGCCCAAATTGCAGCAGCCGGCAGTCAGCACAAATAGCCTGCAGTACTCTAACCATTGTGCCACCGAGGCTCTATACAAGCTTACAGTATTAATGTTGCAATAATTAGACTGAGTAGCATCCACAATTGCTCTTATTCTTTTTTACCTTTGTTTTTACTCTATTGTTATGTTTATTATGATTTTATAGTTTATCTGGGAAATATTTTATCCTGATGTTATGTTTGTTTATATTTACCATCCACAATATTTAAGTATACTGTATCAATAAATCTATTTTTTCCTCTTCATCCAATCATTACACATCTCTTACAGAAATTACAGAGGTAAATAAAAGTTTCCTATGCTTCCTCTTCTTCACTTACTGGGAATTATGGATACAGTATTGTCTGGAGGGAATCCCTGCAATTCAGACTTTCAAACGAGAGGCTTTCTAATCACATTGGATTACAACTTCTATCATCTTCACCTTGCAGAATTTGAGTTCTATAAATTGAACCTTTTTCCTGGAGCCATCTCACATTCCCAATCAATTAAGCAAACTGAACTGGGTTCTACTTTGGACCTATTAAAATACTGGAGTCCTTCTTTTCTTGCCCTCTCTAAAACATTTCAGGGGATGTTAAATTAATCCTTACTTTCACCTTTTCAATCAACAGGTTTTCACTGTCAATTTCCATACTCAGCTGTATACATGTACTGAAATTAAATTTAGATATTGAAAAACTGAGGATGAATTTTGAAGGAATCATGACAACTGTTCTGCTTCTAATGCTCACTAGGTGTTAGTTACATTAATAAGACTTATATAAAATAAATTAGAAAAGTGAGTTTTTCTTTCATTCTCTCTCTCTCTCTCTCTCTCTCTCTCTCTCTCTCTCTCTCTCTTTCTGTTTCTTTTCCTTCCTTCCTTCCTTCCTTCCTTCCTTCCTTCCTTCCTTCCTTCCTTCCTTCCTTCCTTCCTTCCTCCTGGCACAGAAGTGACTGGGGACTGTTGCTATTTGCAATCAGTAACATTTGGATACTTACAGGTTTTCTATTACTCATGCTAAGTGTATGCTCTCCAAAAAATGCAAAAGAGACATAACCCTCTCCTTTATTTCTTTGTATGAAGAGGGAGAAAGAATGTGAGCGTAAAAAAAAAAAAGAGTTAAAAAAAAGTTATGTGACTTTGAGTCTAAGCCATTTAATTTGAACTTCCATTAACAGGTTAACATTTCACATACAGACTTTGATGGGGTATCTCAAATATCCAACATATTAACAAAATGCATTGTAGAAACAGGCTCTACAAACTTTAAAAGGAAGTTCTGTCCACTTTTCCTTCTGACACTTCAAGGTCAGTGCAAGCAATAAAACCAGTACTGGTATGTTAGACGCCCCATTAAAGGGGCAGTGGCTCAGTACAGGAGCAGACAAGCAGGAAGATCAACTGTCTAAATAGCTGGCATCAAATGAGGCGGATAAAACCTGAGTTAGCTGCTCCTGTCTGTCCCCATGACTGAATCGAAGCAAGTCAGACAGCTGTGTCTTCAATTATTTGGTATTTCTATAGGAATATATCCTATATTCAAGGATCTAATTATATTGGTGGTGTTACTGATTTACACAGAAATCTTCACTGAGAAAGATTATCATTGTATAGGCAGTCAAACAAGACAGGCAATTTATGACTTTATCCATATTTTGTTCAGGAAAAAAAAATCAAATGTGCATATGAGGCATTTAGAAGAAGAATATTTAACTTAGCCACTGCAGAGTCATTTTCTCTGTTGTAAAATAGACCCACCAGAGGCAAAGGATGAACATTCAGAGCAAGACAAATAATGACAGGGAATGAGGAGAGGAAGGTGTTCACAAGTTGTTGTTGGATTATGGCTGATCGCATGGTCAGCCAGAGGTTTAGATTGGATTTGGCATTTTTATCTGTCTATCAAATCCCTCCCAAATACTTGAGATAGGGAGTTGTTGATGTTAGACAGTGTTAAAGGTAACATCACAGGATGTAAGCTATCCCAAGTAAATCTGCATTTTGCAATAATTGATGGTGATTTTGTCAATATTGATGCTGTTCAGGCCATGCTCCAGATGTTTTGGGATTGCACCCAAGGTGCCTATTACTACAGATACTATGTTTGCTTTCTATTGTCACATTCTATTTCTGTTTGCAGATCTTTGTATTTTGTGATTTTTTTCCTGTTCTTCTTCTTCTTTACTGCTGCCATGTCCACTTTCCTGACTTTTTTGCCTGTTTTATTGACATTTGTTAAGTCTGGGGTTTTATGAGGCAGGTGCTGTCTGTTTGAATTCTAAAGACCCAAAGCACTTTAGCTTTTTCATTTTGTATTACTTTTTCTATTTCATGGTCCCACCAGTTCAATTCTGGCTTCCAGGCAAATAGCATTTCTTGCAGATCTTCCAATGGACCATTGTTGCTACTTTGTCATGCCGTTGTTTGTAGGCAGTCTGTGTGATCTTCTTGCAGCAGCTAACCAGGTGGTTCACTGTTTCTTCAGCTTCTTTGCAGAGACAGGATTTGCTGCCTGTTGCTGTTTTCTCAATTCTGGCGTTGTATGCATTTGTTCTTAAGGCCTGATTTTGTACAGCCAGAATTAGCTCCTGTCTCTCTTTCTTTAACTTTCCTGGTCTTCACCACTGCCAGGTCTCATTATATGCTTTGGCTGAATTTTTTAAATATATTGGCCATATAATATTTTGCTTTGGCACATCTCTTTCTATCCTTCATTTGGTCTTTATTATTATTATTTTTACTTTGCATACCCTTTCATTTGGATAAAATTTTCTGGCAGAAAACAAAAAAATCTATAGACTTTACTGAATTCCTTTTTCTAGCCCCAAGCAGAACTGAATTTACGAGCTTAATTGTGTTTGTTGAATATGAAATGTGACTAAATGTGATTGTTATGGTAGAAGAGTAAAACCAGGGGTGAAATGCTACCGGTTCACGTGAACCAATAGTGATAAAAACTACCGGTTTGGGTAAACCAGTAATAAAAAAAAAGCTTCCGGTTCAGGCGAGCCGGTAGTTAAAAAAGGCTATTGGTTCTTCCGAACTGGTATTTCCGATGATCAGCTGTGCCACGGGGTTTAGCTTTCCTTTAGATTTCCTGCTTTCTAGTGAAGCTAAATCACGCAGCACAGCTGATCCCCCCTCGCTATTCTACTTATTTTCCCAAGTCTCCTTTTGGCCCGTACTGCACATGCGTGCGCGCTTGGCGTGCATGTGCAGCCAGAAAACCAGTTCGGATTTCACCACTGAGTAAAACCAATGCTGATTCATTATGTCCCTTCTGGAGACTTCCCCAATCAGCTCTGTTAAACCACAGGTGAAATCCAGAACTTTTCTAAAAAAAATTCAGGAGATCGGATAGTTAAGAATTTAAATGTCTAGTTTGACTTCGAGGCTATGTGGAAGAGATTCCTTTTTACTGACAGAAAGCTAATAAATGCAGCAATGTGAGGTCTTTTTCTGTCTAATAAGCTGATTTAGCATTTTCTAGTAAATATATAAATAGCATTTTTACATATTTAGAGAAGAAAGAATGCATTTGTGTGTCGATATAAAGTGCTTGGCTTTCTGTTGCATTCTATCTATTATTCATTATTTAGATTCTTGATTTCAAAAGCTCATATATCACAGTGCTGGAGCTGGCAACAATTTGAAGATCCAGTTTACAATTTCTGGCCTCTGAGAATGGAATTAGTAGTGTGGCAATGGCATTACCAGAGCGGATACAGCTGCAACTACACCGTGATTTGGATGTGGATTGTTGAAGGGGAAAGGATTAGATGCTGATATTTTGGTATTCCTGGAGGAATCCCAGTAGGTCTTCCCTTTAGGACCCCTTTGAGAAATAGACCATCTGGATATACTACTCTCAAATCTGATTGTGAACCTGAAGAGACATACAAGTGGCTGTAGTAATATCGGATGCCCACCTGGGGATATAATATAGTTAAGGGCAAGTTCAGATGCAGGCTGAACACTCACCGTCTTGTTGGGTCCATTATACTTCTCAAAAACATCTTGCACTCGGTCTTCTCCTCCATCAGTAAACATCATGATCATCTTATTGCAATTGGCTCTTGTGATGTTGGACTATAAATAAGAAGTAGACATTTTAGCAAGTATAGGAGACAGAGCCAAATACATTCCCCCCCCCCCTGGGAGAGATACAACCTAATATAAAGTACATAACTGTATTTGTAAGGGTACTTGATTAAAATAAATTGTTGGTGGGAAACTGGCATTTAACATATACAGTATGGCTTCTTCAAGCAATTTTTTTCTGTAATAATAATTTTGTCCTAATAAAGTTTTCTTTGCATATTTTTCTTAAATACGCATATTCCCATATATACTTTTGAGTTATAAACATTATTTTTTTTAAAATGCAGGTTTCAGTGTAGAATTTGAACTCTGCATTTGTATTTGTATAAATTTCAGACCCCATAAATTTTACTTGAGACTTTGGACTAATACATTTCCTTCTGCTCACTATAGAAATACAGACATACATGCATTAGCACATATATTTTTCCTATACAGAACTCAATTCAATTGAGATGTATTTTTTCAGACTTCTGCATATGCCAGTGAAGGGAAATGTATGGTTGCAATCTTATGGGAAGCAGTAAAAGGGTATACTCTCTCTCTCTCTCTGTGTGTGTATGTGTATGTGTATGTGTATGTGTATGTATATGTATATGTATATGTGTATTGAGGTGTCCCTAGGATGGCACTTCTTTATAGAGGTCAACAACAGTATATTTGTAATGGGAAAGTGCAGAAGACAATAAATGTCAAGGCTATCAGTTCTACTTCTTTTCCATCCTAGTTGCTGTCCTCTAAGACACTGGCAGAGAGACATCTGTTTTCTTTAGCTATTCTCCAGGGGTGAAGGTGGCACAGATGAGCAAGGGAGAGGGAGTTGTGTCAGGACAGAAATTATGTTGTGGCTATTACCGTTCAGCATTTAATAGAGCTATTCATCTTTATTTTGTCCAATGTCATTATAACCCTTCTGATCCAAGTCTTCTCAGATGAGTCCTGCTAACTTTATAATGAAATGGAAGAGGCAGCTGTTTCCAATGAAATTTAAGTACCAGCTGCTGGAGTTTTCATTTATCTAGGGAAAAGCGCCCAGCACTGAAACTTTATCCTTGGTTTCAGCCCCTCACATGATCAGGAAAAAGAATAATGAAGGTTCCAGCTCTATTTGTCATGTAGCCTCTTAAGAATCAAATGTTTCAGGGAACAATTGCAATGAAGGCAGTTCCAGAGATGCCAGGCTGTTGGATGGGCAAATATCCTTCAGTTCTAACATGTCAGAAGACAGAGCTAATGTAGGGATACAGGCCTGCATTTTAAAAATTTATTGGAAGGAATAAATGTGCCTTGCTTGCATGCAGGAGATACAATTCAGACGTCTTTTTGGCTAATGAACTACTCTTGCTGGTGGCATGATCGAAACAGCAGTGTTTAAGCAATGGCTGCTTGCATTGTTGCTTGTAGTACAGGTAGTCCTCAATTTACAATTATAATTGAGCTCAGAATTACAGTCATAAGTCATGGTAGTCATTAAGCACGTTATTATGTGACCACACCAGATTTTTATGACCTTTTTTTACAGCAGTTGTTAAGTGAATGTGATGGTTGTGAAATGAATCTGTTATACCGAATGACATTTTTGTCAGAAACTAGAAGCAAACTGTGGAAACTGGCAAAAAATGCTGAAAATTGTGTCACATGACTGTGGAATGCTGCAAATAGCTGTAAATGTGAGCCAGGTGCCAGCACCCAAAAATGACCACAGGCCATCAGAATTCCAGAATTGGGTCACTGGTATCTCTTTTTTTTGGGGGGGGGGTTCTTAACTTCAATGGTTGTTAATTGAGGGTTACTTGTATTATGGTCAGAATAACCTTTCTCAATCAATAAACAGGTTTAGTGACTCATTATCTGTGTCAGTCATTATCTTGGTCCAACCTGCCTCACAGGGTTGCTAGGTGTAAAAAACAACAACTACTCCCTCATATGGTAGATAGGTGTGAAAAAGAATCTTGTATTTTATCTTGAGTACTTTGGGAGAGAGATGATCTACATATGGGACAACCAGAGGAATACAAATATATAATGTGTTTACAATGCACTGTGCTTACAAATGGCATTTTTTTATTGCATGCAGAATATTTCAAATACAATAAGCTGTCTTTGTTCCAAAAAGATTCCTATTTTGCAGGCATCCTGGAACTTGCAGTTAAAAGGGGAAATCATTGTGGCTTTAAGTGACAGGTTCCACCAGCCTTCACGGTCCTTTAATAGTTTTTTTTAATCAAAGACTGTTGTGCTGGGCTAATGTTTATCTGTATGCTAAGTGAACAGCAGAATATAGCAAAGGGAGACAACATTTGTGGAATGTTGTGCTAGGCTGGGTTCTCGTGGTAATGAAAGCTGTAGTAAATCTCAAGAGCAAAGCTGCAGCTGGCAAACTAGAAGGTTGCATCTACCTAGGGAGGCAAAACAAAGGAAGTGAATTGTGGCTGCCATCAAATATTTTACTGCGTGGAGAGAATGGCCCACAGTGTTATAACTTGCTGAAGTTCCCAAGGCTGAAGGAAGAAATCATGGCAAATTTAAGATTTAAAAAAAATGACAAGAAGCAAATGTCATAAGAGGCATGTGTAAGTAAAAATTTAGTGCCCTGTCCAGAGTTCTGAAAAGTTTCCAGATAAAATGGACAACCTTGTAATTATAAGTAAACACAATGGATTTCTTTCTTTCCTTGTGGCCTCAGAGTATTATTCCATTTCTATTCTCTTGTTCCAAAGCTGCATGCATGATTTCTTTCCTCATTTTATTACAGCAACAAACCAATTCCACCAGTGAGTTTTTTTTGGCTGAGTAAGACTTGGAGTTCAATTTTCTCAGATTGTTGTCCAATATATATTTATTTAGTGCCTCATCAAAGAAAACTGAACCAACAGAGAAGCTTTTTAGGATAATCCCTTCTATTTTCGAACACAGTAATGATACTATGAGAATCTGAGACACAAACATGAAATTCCAGGAATCCTTCTGCTGCTTAGACTTGTCAAGGTCAAGCTAAAATTACAAATATAGAGATTTTTTCATTGTTTGATAGTAGTTGCTGGAGATAAATTGGAAGGATCCTGCACTTTGGTGCTTTCAGCAAATAGAGCATTAAAAATTCTTCATATGACTTTTTATCAAATTTGGCCCTTACTTCTCCAGCTCCATATTTTTTTGCCTCCATCTTATTTGAAATCTGGCATTTTAATGCTTAGCCTTCCACGTTCCACCCTCCCAAATTTAAACTCTGGATTTACATTTTGCAATTGCTCAAAGGCATATTCAAAGCCAGCCTTATAATCAGTGGTTCCTTGGGCCTCCATTCCTTCTACGTCCTCTTTGAAGACCTTCTTGTTGCGGATATTAGCTTGGACTAAATGTTTGAAGCAGGACACAGGCTGCGCCTTTTGGTTAAACTGAAAGACAGAAAATTATAATCCATTAGACTAGTTAAAGACACCATGCAAAAGCTGGGAATCTGATCAGCTTCCACCAACTGGGTTTAGTGAATAATAGAACCGTAAATGTTTTGAGTAATATGAGCTATGATAACATACTCAAGTCAGCTGAGACAATCAATTGGGGAGTCAAGGAAGGTCAGAAGAAAATTACTACTACTTTCAGAGACCCACTTTCCTTTAAAATATGATTATATCCTAGTTCAAAATATTGGAACCCTTCCAGCTGATAAAGTTTCTGCAGCTGTGCTGATCAAGATTCAGCTATAAAGGATGTGCATATGTAAGAGCAAGAGAAGAAACAGCAAAGGGGCAGCATGGTTCCCCACTACACTTGGAAATGATGATCAGTTGCAATATACCAGTCTCAATTGGTCGTGAGTGTATCTTTGAGAATGATCAAACAGCAGTCAAGATCTATCGCTATATTTTTTTCATGAGTGGGCATATAAATACTAAGATTTCGGTCAACTGTAACCTAGGGATAATGGGAATTGTAGTTCTTTTATACGGGGAAGGAACACAATGACCTCAAACTGATATTTCCAATTACCACTGCAGCCTGCAATTCACAGGGTTCTCTAGGAGAAAGTATGCCAATTAAAATGCATAACAAGTGCACAGGTGATATGCCCACTGGGGAAGATATTTTATGGTCCTCCCACCCTCTTGTGAAAGGAAGAGTTGCAGATTATAACTCCAATCACACAAGGAAAGAAAGTTTGGTTAAGGTTGTGTTAAAGAAGTGCAGAAAGGACTGACTGAAACAAACATGGTTTCCCACCCTCTGCTGGAGGTTACAGCCCTCTTACTGATGGGGCCACATTGTATTCAGGTTTCTATAGGAATAGACTGACATTAAGGAATAACAAAAACCGTCCTTCCTGTTAAGAGTGATTGAGAATTGAATGAATTTGTGGACAGCATAACTGGGATTGCCCAAACATGTTTTTTCGCAGGACATTTTAATGCCTTATCACAAGGTCACAGGCTCAGTGAAGTGGGGTGTTCTATGATAAACGGTTGCTGGGATAGAGCAGGCTTCTCTTGCATAGAGTTTGGCCAGCAGATGAACTGAAAAAAACACTCATTTTCGCTTATGGCTTAGTTTGCTGGAAATACAGAACATTAATTTAGAAGGCAGTGATCCAGCAAAAGTAACGAGGCTAGACTTGTTAATTAGGCCAGCCATGTTTTTGCCAGTCAACAGACACATGATAGGGTTACAGAGAATGATAGAGTTTTTACTTTCTTTCATGGTGTGCCTTAATTTATTAAAAGAACAAATTTACTGGACTTTACTGAGGGGGAGAAGAACAAGATTAATCTGAGTCAAATGAAACATTAATTCGGGAAGTTACCCTAAAATACGTAGTACAAAACTGAAAAGTACTTAGAAGGCAATTCCTCAACCTGTCTTTTACTCTCAGGATCAGGTTTTGGAGTAAAAACAGTACATTTGTTCCTGATGTGGCTAGGATTATGACAGTTGGGGATTCAGTAATAAACCAGTAACTCATGGCAAATGGAAAAATTGGCATGCCAACTAATTACAGTTCAGGCTTGCCTCTTGGACGCTCTTATAGAATAGAATAGAATTCTTTATTGGCCAAGTGTGATTGGACACACAAGGAATTTGTCTCCGGTGCATAAGCTCTCAGTGTACATACAAACAACAAGTGATAAATCATGATCATAGTCATCGTAAAAATACATTCATCATAAATTGTAAGATACAATTTAGTGATAGTCATAGGATACTAAATAAGCATTAGTTATATTAGTTCAACAGAATATTAGTTCAACAGAAATCTGGATCTGAACTGATTTTAAAATCATGGCACCACTGACAATTTTCAGCCTAGTGCCTTCCAGTTAGGTGGAGATGTCATAAATTTGCTCTTCTCAAGCCAAGGTCTATTCATTTTTTGCTGAAGTGTCAGGATTTAAGATTATTTGTCTATTTTTATTCCATATTTACTGTTTTTGTAAATAACTTAAAGTGGCAAATACACTTAGTGCTACTCGTTCTCTCTCCTATTTTCCTTACAACAGCAACCCTGTAAAATGAGTTTTGCTGAGAGAGAGCAACTAGGCCAAAGTCACCCAGCCAGCTTTCATGCCTGAAGCAGAACTATAACTCACAGTCTCCAGGCCTCTAGTCTGGTGCTGTAACCAAGCACCATTTTATAATTTAAATTTAAAATGAATTTAAAATCTTAGTCTGTCCTCTGAACTTAATAAATGTATAAATTATTGCAATTAGAACTGAAACTGAAGTGTAGAAACATACTGAATAAGTTCATCTTGTCCTAAAAGCTGATCTATCAGAAAATATTATATAGGGGATTTTAAGAACTCTGATATCATCTACCACTATATATATAGGATTTCTAGTCAACATGGTTAATGGCAAGGACTTCTTGAAATTATAGTCCAAAATATCTGTTCAATTCTCAGTTACCGATTTGATTTATAGGCGATGCCTAATGCTGTCAATAAATATGTCACCTGCTGTCAAGAAGGTACAGATTATACTCCTAAATTGTTTAGAGATTTTATTTTTTATTTATTTTTTTTAAATATACTTTATTGATTTTAAAATTTTAAAAAACATCAAATCTCTGTTAACATCTGAGGTGTCGTGTAATTACATATTTACATTATATACATATCAATTACATTCGAATCTACCATTATTGAAAATAAACGTAACCTTACAATCTCATTCTATTATTCCACCATTTGTACCACCTTTCCCATACTGCATTGAATTTTGAATTCACATCATTATTAAGATCACTTGTTAATTTTGCCATTTCTGCGCATTCTAAGATTTTGTTTAGAGATTTTACTTTGTAGTGTTGTTATGGAAACTATTTAAAGAGGAGTAAACTTGATTCAAAGCAATCCACCAGGCCCAGTAGATATAAATAGTAAAGTTTCATTGATATTTTAGATTTTTATTTTGTTTGGGCACATGAAAGATTGTTCCTAGAGTACCAAGAACACACTGCCAACTTCACTTCACTTCACATGTATACAAACTGTATATACTGTACATAGGATCTGTCCTTTTAAGGCTTAAGAGGCAGAAAAATGTTAAAAGGGTGGAACAATAAACTAACAAATATTAGTGTCAGTGCATGCATAGGATGAGTATTATACAAACCATGCTCCTATTTGTTTTCTGATATTCAACAGGCATGAGGCTACAGAACCATTCTTAGAAAGTGGGATTTTCATCACTGAAGATACCCCTCCTCAGCTCTTCTGGCCACTGGGACCAGTTTAGCTTAAGGACAGGTCAAGTACTTGTCAGTCAGCAAGGGCAAAGGGCACCAAGTTATTCATTTCCTTGCGCTGTTCTACAAGCAACATCTGCTTTCTCCATCTCTCAGTTACTTCCCACCCTTTCTACCGAGAGCATTTCTTGAAGCTGTGACGCTACCATTCCTTCCTATCTGCAGAAGAAAGCTAGTATAAGAGTGACCAGTGGTTCTCAGGCTAGTGACATTATGTCAACACATTCCAGCTGTGACCTTGAAAAAAATATCCAAAAGTCCATTAACTTGGAAAGAAGGGCGGGGGGAGTCTAGAATTTAAACTCTGGAGCAAATATCCATGCATACCTACATATATACTCTGTGATTGTGAGATAACATAGCAGGCAGATTGTTCTGCTGCAGTTGCTTAATTTTTGTCTGCGATGAAGTATCAGAACTTGGTAAATCATGCCTGAAAGTTTACTGATAATTAAGCCCATTCTAGAATAAGGGATGGAGAGTTGGAGAGCCTACAGTTCTCCCAACCCTTATTGAATAGATAAGGAGGGATGGGAAGCAAGACACCTCCCCGCTCCAAAAAACTCCCCTGTCTCAAACAACTATAGGGCCCTTGGAAGTGAGGCAAGGTTTATTCTTTCCTGTGCTGAGTTTTTTTTTAAAAGAAGGCTTTTCAATTTGAATGGCTCTTCCTCTCCCATAAAACTCCATGTTTGCTAGAGAGCTGAATGTCATTCACAGAGATATTTAAGTAGATTTAGGTTGTTCCTTACTTCCTTCAAGCCATAGGAGAGATGAAAGAACACCTCTCCTGTTCCAGAAGCTTTACGCTCGCCAGAGGATTAGGAGAGCAGGGAATAACAGGTAAAAAGGACCCTCTATTTTTAGATTAGGGACAAGGATGTAACAGGTAGGAAGAGGCTGTTGAATAAGTGGCTGTGATCCTTAGATGTTCCTTTTCATGTATCCATCCAGTTGGAGGCAGCAGCTTGGGAAGACACTTCTAAAAGGAGCTCAGCTTTGCTGAGGCCTACAATTCCATTCTTGATCCGTAACCCACAATGTGTTCCTGCCTGTAAATTAACCTTAATCCAATCCCGGTCCAGGAAAGAGTCCGGCTTCTTTCATTCGCATCATCCTCTCAGTCAAAGCTTTCCTTTTCCTCATCCTTGTCGTACCTGCTGGCTTTGCCTTGTCCCCCCCCTCCCCCTGCAACTTCCACCACAAAGAACCACCTTGTGGAAACAGAACGGCTTGTCAAAGCTGGCACAGAGGAAATGGCAAAAGGAGGATGCAATTTATTTCTTGCAGGTGTGTTTTGTCATTTGCAATCGATCAAAGGCAAGGAACAGCCAGGAGTGTGGGAAAAGGAAAGGTGACAGAAATGGTAAATTGGGCTGCAGGAGCTGCACGAGGCAGAAGCTAAGGCCTCTGACGGGCATCTCCCTCTCCCTCCACCCCCGTGTTATACAAGGAAACAAATCAGGCAAATAAAGAGCATGGTTGTTTTCGCAGGGCTGATGTGGCATTTTGGTTTGAGATGCTTTCAGCAATTCGTTTCCTAGAGAAGCTATCATTTAACTCCTAGAGGCTGCTAAGTGCAAGAGCAGGCAATAAATGCACCACATCAAATCCAGGATAACAGCTTTGATCATTAACTTCTTTTGCTGCTAGAGAAATACTTATCTTCTTCCTGAGTGGTTAGTTCTTTCATCTTCACTTTCCTGTCCCCTGGACTATCACGCCTGCCACTGATATAGTCGAATTTATATGAGTTAAATAGATTGACTCTAGCATGAATTATAAACCATCATCTTCTCCAAAATTGTACTACAGGTAGTCCTCAACTTACAATTCACTCAGTGCCCTTTCAAAGATACAACAGCACTGGAAAAAGTGTATGATCATTTTTCACACTTGTGACCGTTGCAGCATCCCCATGGTTACGTGATTTACATTTGGATGCTTGGCAACTGATTTATATTGCTGTGTTCAGGAGTTATGTGATCACCTTTTGTGACCGTTTGCAACCTTCTGATAAGCAAAGTCAATGGGGAAACCAGATTCACTTAACAAGCCTGTTACTAATTTAACAACTGCAGTGATTCACTTAACAAATGTGGCAAGGAAAGCCATAAAATGGGACAATCTTATTTAACAAATGTTTCACTTAGCAACATAAATTTTGGACTCAATTGTGGTCGTAACTCGTGGACTATGTGTATTGTACTATTAACTATTAGGATTGAGAATTAATTGACAAAAGCAGTAATCTACACTGGTAATGGATTCTCAAGTATTTACAGGGTGCAGTTGTTATTCCAATGTAAATGATTATATATCATTGTATATTATTACAATTGCAGTATTTGACACTCTTTCAATCAAATGTTCTAGATGAGGATGGACTGGATTGTAGGAAAAATGTGCTGCATAATCCAGAGTAGTGCAAAATCTAACCAAAAAACTTGTCTAACAGTCTGGATTGTGAAAATTGTCAATCTATTTAAATACAGATAGGTGAAGCTTTCCAACATCCTTAGAGAGCAAAGATTTCTTGCAAGCTTTGTTTTTCACTATCTTTAGGCATGTATGAATTGCCACAATTCACCTGATAGTTCCTTATAAACTAGTTTATAATCCTGTAGACTGTGGGCATCTCTATTTGTCCTATGTCAAAATAGAGGGATGCTGCTGTGAATTCTAAATATCTACAGTTAAAACACATTGGTTACTAATAGGTTGTAGTACAGTTTAGTGTCATTCAATCTGCTCTTTTCTAAATTGAGCATGTATTTTTATGTAAGAAAGAATATGTGTGTTTTTTATAGTTATAGGTATACGCATGTACCTATATCTATAATGTAATTAAGAGAATCTATATATAATAGAGAAATCCATCAATTATTGTCATGGATGACACTACAATGAAGAACATATTAGATTCTGCATCTTACTTCCTTTGTGTACACAGCACAAATCGTCATATATTCTCTTGGTCTGCATTCCATTTTTTAAAAAATCTGGACTGAGGCATTACTCAGCATTGCATTACCGAAGACATAAAAGCAAATAAAGTGAACTTATTGGTTCATAACAAATCTAGTGTTAAAGATGCTCTGGGCTACTACAGATTCCACAATGCATATTAGCATTTATTATCTCTTTAATTAGACTTCCCAATCTAATCGATGCCAATCTAGTGGATGCCATGTTGGTGGACAGCTGCCTCTATCATTGCCCCTTAATTTCCCATCGCAGGTTTGCTACTCACAGAAGCAACATTAACGTAGTCATCATCTGAGAGGGTGTCCAACATATCATAGACTGAGGTCTTCATCAGCTTCAGTGTCAGGCCACTGACGCTGCCACTCCTGTAACAGAAGATAAGGTAGAGCTCATTATGCATTTCTTTCATTAAGAGCCTTTCCTCACTTCCAGAAGCATGACATAGCAACATATTTCCTCTACTGTGACCTCATGAGGCAGCCTTCATCTTGCTGCTAACCCATATCTGAGACAGCTTAAGATTGCTCTTAGCTGTTCTAACTTCAAAATGCTTTCCCTCATCAGCAGGCAACAAACTGTAGAAGCTTAACCATGAGTACCTTCTGATGTACTTCAATGCCCATTCTGTCAATCATACTGTCAAGCCATTATGCGTTGGGATGAGCTCCCCAGCACTATGGTCCAGTTCAGATTGGTTGGGCATATTCCTCCCCTCAAGTTTCAGACTGATTCACCAGTGTCCTTGCTTGACAGAAACATTCTTCTGTCTATACCCAGTAGTTTTTAGCATCAGCATTTGATAATTCTTCATTATACTCGAACCCATCCCAGATTCAAAGCTTTTTTTTTATTTTTTAAATCACGTAGGCCGTAGTTTAAAAACTAGTTGATTAGGCAGCACATGCCACTAAATGTACTAGGGACCTGAGTAAATAAGTGTAAAATCAAATGTAGGATCAATAAATGTAGGATCAAATGTTAAGATTCTTCCACCTTTTGTCCTAGGCAGGGCACTTCTGGCATAGCTGTGAGAATTAATCCTTTGCTGGAAGAGGTGGAAGGCAAAAGGGGAGATTCCTGGGATCAGCAAATCAATATGGATAGACTTGTGGCTTTAAAAGCTTTCCAGCCTTATTGCTGTTTACTTAGGAATAAATTATGCCAAATTAAATAGGATTGATTTTCCAGCAAAATGGGTTTTAGCATATGTGCTGATTGCATCTAACCTTCCTTTCATACATATCTGTGCCTTCAAAATCTTGAAGCAATATATCCCAGCTCGACGGCATAGGACTGCAGCCCATTGCTCACTAAATTCCCAAAAGGAATTTAGAGCTGACCTTGAAAGAGCCATTAAGGAGGGACTTAGACAAGGGATTATGCAGTCCAAATACTGAAGCAAGAACAAAGAAGAAATTTAAAGTAACCCTGTCTTATTTTTGTTTAGTATATGATGGGAAAGACAAAAACTCAGGCCCAGATTCCTCCCAATGCTCTTTGAACACACCTGGACATTACAAATGGAGTGCAGATTGGTAAGGGAAATAGCAAAGTTTAGGCTGTTCCAGCCTTGATGAAAGAATGGCCCACTGCTATCTGCTCGCTGCTATCTGTGTAGAGCAATATATTTGGGAGAGCATATATTGACTGTGAGGGAGGAAAAGTCACTCTCTTGGTCAGCCAGATCAGCCAAATCCACCCTGGTAACTAATGTGAGGAGAGCTGTTGCAGTCAGATTGCCCTCATATCCGAAGCACCAGGTATGTTGCAATTCCTTTCCATGATGATCTTATGCTGTGGAGACAGTCCCTTCTGCCCACTGGGCCTCCAAATTCATTTCAAGATTTTAAGCATTTGTTGTTGTTATTAGTTGTGAAGTCGTGTCCGACCCATCATGATCCCATGGACAACTTTCTTCCAGGCCTTCCTGTCCTCTACCATCCTACTGAAGCAGTAGCTCCTGTCTACTGCTTCAGTGACTCTATCCAGTCACTTCATTCTCTGACGTCCCTTTCTTTTTTTGCCCTCAATCTTTCCCAGCATAAGGTTCTTCTCCACTGAGTCCTGTCTTTTCATTAGGTGGCCAAAGTATTTGAGTTTCATCTTCAGGATCTGACCTTCTAAAGAGCAGTCAAGGTTGATCTCCTCTAGGACTGACCGGTTTAATCGCCTTGCAGTCCAAGGGACTTGCAGGAGTCTTCTCCAGCACCATAGTTCAAAGGCCTCAATTCTTTGATGCTCAGCCTTCCTCATGGTTCAACATAAAATTAGCATTTTACTGGGGTCCAAACAATAAGATATAGTCTGAAAACACGACACGTGGAAAATTGTAGGGAAAAATACTCACACATCCACGATGATCACCATATCTTTTGGAGAAGAGGCCCCTTGAATGTACCTGCATTAAGCAAAGAGAGAGCTAAAATGAGAACTTGCATTCAATAGACTGTGAGATCTTAGAGAAAGGCTGAAGGTATCACTACAGGTCCTGTCTTACTCTTTCCCCCGTATTTTTAAGGGGGAAGTTTTAGGATGAGAGAACTCAACTATTTCATTATTAAGAGAATAAGGTTCTTATTTTAATGTTCTTTTCAAGATTCCACGGCATCTTGGGCTGAGCTGGTTCTGCTAAAAGGATGGACAAAGAATAGCATGGATGTTGGCATAATAGTTAGATGTCAATTCATACAAGCCATATCTATATTTCTGGCCAGTACTGGAAGGCTGAAATGTGACTAGACAGACTTTTAGTTGGGAAATCCGAACAGTTTAAAAGAACAAATGAAAAAAGATGCTTGTATCCATTTGCTACTTTGATCTACTACTATTTATATGTCTTCTGGGCACACTTCTAGCTATTTTTGTGTGATCAAAATTTTATAAAACAGTTTTTTATAAAAAGGAATACAGGCTAATTTTACATCACTTTTGATTCATTTTTTTATTTTATAGTTTTTGGAGTAAAAAGGAAAATCTCTCCTGAGTTGAGCTCCTTCTATATCATTATCTACCCAGATGCTCACCAATCACCTTTTTTTATTCATTTTGAGATCTTTAGAATCAGTCACTTCCTCTGCTATCTTGTCTTGTGCCCTCCCACCCAATCATGTCATCTAAAACAACCTCTTTCCCTCTGGATAATATTATTTTAGAATGTTGCATTATTTCCCCCCCCCCCCCAAATTACTTCTGGTTCTTCCATTATTACAATTCAATGATGCATAGCATGCAACTAATAGTAAAGCATGGAATCCTACTTTCAACCAAAGTATGCAATAAGAACTGTATTGCAGTGGCACACCATAAGCACTTCCCCTTCAATACCCCTGGAAAAGGACAGGGTTTGTATCTCAATACCGTTTGCATCACTCTTCCCCTTTTCTACCCTGCAAAAACTGCTACCCACAACATCCTATAACAGTAAATGAAATATTCTGATGCATATTTTAGCCCTTTCATTCATAACCAAGGACTAAAAAGTAAAACAAATTTATTCTTTTATTTGCATTCATTTATCAAATCTACTCTTTTATTTTCATTGCTCCATAGCAATTTATTACATCCTCCTCCTTTGTCTCTTAGCTTCACAGCCTTACAATGTAACAGTTTTTCTTTCACTTAATTCATTCGTTAATTCATGCTCTTTACCATGAATTATGTCTAAATGTCTAGGCAAGCTAAGCTAATACAGATGCTAACTTGAGTTTAGAGACCTTGGTAGGTTAAAGGTTTTGGTTCAGGCGCTGGCATTGGTTTTATTCCTTCACCCTCCATTAGCATACATCATAGCTGAGCAAATTATTTAAACAAGAAACAATGCCATGCCAGTATCTTCATAATTATGATAAAGTGTTAGGGAATGGGGTTGAGGGGTACCCCGGACCGTGAACCAGCTCATGAGCAAACACACTGAGACTGAAATAAATCTGACAGAGGCATCTTGTGTAAAAATATAATTTACTTTAAAACATTTAAAAAGCACTATGTCTTTAAGAAAGCACATTAAAAACAAAGTCTTATCTTGGTTATGTGAAGCAAGGCTATCTCCCTAGATTCCTCTCCACAATACCAAAACAGTTCACAAGAGAATAGAGCTAACATGAAGATAAGCAGCTTCGGCGTCGATACATCATTGAGGTAATAGAAGGGGCGGCAGCACAAACTTCACAGCTAAAAGTCACCTGAAGTAAAAACAATTCAAACAGCAAACATTGCTTGAAGCTTGTGGGAGGAAGAAGGTCCAGCAACAGCAGTCCCGATGATAGCTTGCGTGCTACAAAACAGCAAAAGGCAAGCATCCGTGGGAGTTTCTCTGCAACGGCGTCTGGAGTCCTTATCTGCATTCTTCTCCCATCTGCGGCATTTGCACATAGCTTCCTGCAGGAGCTGTGCATTTAGGCCTAAACCGGAGTCTAGGCCCAAGTAGCAAGCGAAAAGGTCCTTACTTATATGGGGAGTTAACCTGCAATTAACTAGGGCGGGGAAGGCTTGCAAGTAATTACAAACAGGAGATGGCTTGATTGAAACCATACTGTTTGTGAGTAGGCAAGTAGCCACAGCAATCCTGGAAACACTCATGACATAAAGGGACACATGGTCCTCTTCTTTTTTATGATGTAAGAGCAGCTGAGAGAATCGACTTTCAAAGAGAACAAAAGAGACCTTGAAGAAAATAATGCAAACTTGCAATGGTTCCAGAGATACAAATTTACCAAATTGCATAAACCATGGATTGTTGCACTTCATGTTTAAGAACTGTCATACATGAAGATACAATTTTTAATGAATATTTATATATTCACACACACATGTACACATTCAGGAATGCAAAAATGCAATAGTTGAATTCATTGTCTAGATCAGAGGTGGGGAATGATGGCCCCTTGACTTATGGACTTCAACTCCCAGAATTCAGCATTCTGAGCCAGCATTCTGGGAGTTGAAGTCCACATGTCATAAAAGGGCCATTGTTCCCAACCCCTGATCTAGATCAAACAAGCTCTGGAGAGTAAGCCAGTCAGCAATGCTAGATTGCCTCAAGGATGGGGAATGCACTACAGAGTCATGGTGTTCTGCTGCTATACCTCCTATTAGAGCTTAAATATTGAATTCTATCATGATTTTTAGTAGTAAAGATTCCACTGACACGCATGTATTAAGTTATAATTCTACCTTAAGATTCCTCCTTCCCATATCATTGATTTCAAGGACCAAATGACTTAAAAATGATAAGAAGACAATTATTATTGTTATTGTTATTGTTATTATTATTATTGTTTAGACTTCTATACTGCTTCATAGTGCTTTACAGCCCTCTCTAAGCGATTTACAAAGTTTACAAAGTTAGCATATAACATATTGCATATTAGCATATTGCATTAGCATTAGCATATTGCCCCCAACAATCTGGGTCCTCATTTTACCCACCTCGGAAGGATGGAAGACTGAGTCAACCTTGAGCCGGTGAGATTTGATCTGCTGACCTGCTGAACTAGCAGTCAGCTTAACTAGCTGCAGTATTGCACTCTAACCACTGCGCCACCTCTTTGTACGCAATAGTGATTATTTTTTAATAATTCTCCTTGTTTTAAAATAATGCATCTTAAACCTAGTTAAATATTATGTTTTTCTCTGTAAATTTCAATAAATAACCTTGGTCTGTCTGTCTGTGTCTCTCGCTTTCTCTCCCCCTCTCTCTCCATAAATTGATTTACCGAGTTAAAGTGTGATAAAATGTAGGGAGGTCAGTAGTGATGGATAGACCCCTGTTTTACAGTATTTCAGACACATGAAATAGTGGGCCAAACTATTATACAAGTTGTCTTCAATTTACGATCACAATTGAGCCCAAAATTTATGTTGCTAAGTGAGAAATTTGTTAGTTTTGCCCCATTTTATGACTTTTCTTGCCACATTTGTTAAGTGAATCATTGCAGTTCTTAAATTAGTAACAGCTGCTAAGTGAAACTGGTTTCCCGAATCCCTTTGCTTGTCAGAAGGTCACAAAAGAGGATCACATGACCTTGGGGCACTACAACTGTCATAAATGTGAATCAGTTGTCAAGCATCTGAATGTAAATCATGTGACGTTGGGGATTCTGCGATGGTCATAAATGTGAAAAATGGTCATAAGTCACTTTTTTCAATGCCGTTATAATGTCAAATGGTCACTAAATGAACTGTTGGACTACCTGTACATGCAGTCCAATTTTTTTAAACACAGAGCATTGGCTCTTCATGTTATCAGGAGAAATGGTGATGGCAGGAACTTCTTCAGCACTAATGTATTGAAACACATCTACACCTGCAAGTAGTATATTTCCTCTGCAAAGGTCGATTGAAAAGTGTGAGCTCCAGCATCCTGTATCTCATAAGTCTACTTCACTCATGATACTAAGTCATACTGTGGTGGGTTCTTTTGGGCTTAGGATGACACTTGATATCATCCAATACAGCTGAATGTAAAGTCTGAACCATACTGGCATGGCTTGTTCAGCAAAATATGTAGCAGTGCTATGTGTAAATACTGTTATAATAGTCTCTAAGAAAGTCACAAACAGGGAATCAAGATGAAATATTTTCCTGTTGTGACTCCCCATCAATTGTTAATCAAAGTGACACTATTAATAATCGGAAAACTGCTTACAGCCATCATGATAAGAAGTCTTTGACGTTGGACTCGCATAGAAGTCATGTTGGTGTCAAAATTTTTGCATCATGATATGATTCACATTATATCACTTGCCCCCATTTGCCCCCAACTCTGCGAGGACTCTGATTCTCCCAGGAAATTGCTTAACCCCCTTTAAAACTGTCTAAACAAGAGTTATTACCTTAGTATGCCGACTAGGTTTCATATTTGTACGACATGATTAACAACCATAGTTTACTCTATAAGCCCACTTTTCTTGGTGTGTATGTTATACCGAACAATGGACCCATTATGGATTTGTGCAATGCTCTAGGCTAAAATGTAATTGACTAATTTGTGGTCGAGGATTGTTCAAACATAGTCATGATATGAATAGGTACAATGCTTCCCTTTGGAGTTAGACTTTTTTTCTTCTTCACAGAATATTTACAAATCCAATATTGCCCTGTTTCTCTTTCACTATTTTTTTGAAACTGTTCCCGATGCTTCTGATGGTTCAGGATAATGTAACTTCTGCAAACTGGATCTTTTTGCTCCTCTGCTGTGGTACCAGATCATTCATAAACAAGTTAGAAAGCTGCACAGCTAGGATAGACCTATTTACATCCTTCAGGGCAAAACCTGTCCATTGGTTCCTAGAGAGCATCTTTTTCTCACCGATCCCTAGGAATACCAGTCCCCTTATCGTAAGACTGCTCGAAATAAGAAAGTAAAAAGGGTGGTTGGGATTGGGAAAATTAATAGGT